GTCACATAAACAAGGTTTAAGTTTATGGGGGCCGCAAAAAAAAAACACCTTAAATTTTCATAGAAACGTATCTTTATTTTGAAAAGTACAGTATACAAAAAAATCCCAGTGATGTGGGGTTGCGTGTCTCCATGCAACACTGACCCACACACACACTCACTGACAGACACACTCACTCACTGACAAACACACACGCACACTCACAGACAGACACATACACACTCCCTGACAGACACACACACAGACACTCACTGAGACACACAGACACTCACTGAAAGACACACACACAGACACACACACACACACTCACTGACACACACACAGACAGACTCACAGACACACTGACAGACAGACACACACTCACAGACACACACACACACAAACATAATTTTCTTTATTGCTCCCTACCTTTGGGAGCTGATGTGGGGCCTCTCCCTGGAGTCCAGTGTGGATCTTCTATCTGCTCCTCACTGCTCCCTCGCGCAGTTTAGTGATGCCGGGTGCCGGAATATGATGTCATATTCCGACGCCTGGCTTCACTACAGATGGCGTGTGCCTCCCTGGCCGGGTAAGTTTTAGCAGAGTAGGCACCTGCAATGTGGGGAACGCAGGTGCCTACTCTGCTATAACACCAAGCATGTACTCACGGCTCGCCACAAAGATGTCCATTGTGGGCCGCATGCAGCCTGTTTGACATGCTTGCCCTATGCTAATCTCTTGCTTTCATCTTTCAAGTAAATCAGTATCCCCTAACAGCAGTGTTGGATGAAGCAGGATGTCGGTGGGTGGGGTAAAAGGGTGGGCCACTGACTGAGTCAGTAACCAGAAACGCCAAAAGGGGTAAGCATGCTCAGAAAGGGGGCGTGTCTGCACAACGAATTAGAAAGTCAGCACCCTGAACTTGGCATAAATGCATCTAATGATGTGCTTGCTCCATGCTTTTTTAAGGACTGCCCCCTAGCACTCACTTGTTCACTCCTCTCCTAACCTTCTTACTAGCAGACAGAAGCTACACAGTCTTCGACAGAGAAAAAGTGGATGTAGTGAGTGTAGAAGAAAGGGAACATGCCACAGTGTTAGAGAGACTGATGCATTTGCATAGTGCACAAGGTCAGCTTTACCTTTTTATCTTAACTTCTTTTTCTTGTCAGCCAGCCCACACAAGTTTTGTTCCTCTACATCCCTCGTAAGTTTCCATACTTAAGCAAGAACATGTGAAGAGTAGTAAAAAACATTTTTTTTTTTTTTAAACAATAGGCCTTTTGCATGGGCATGGGCCTGGAGGTGCAGCCCCATCAGCCTCTATGTTAATCCAGCCCTGGCTCTGGGCTGCCTGACTAACACGTCTGGTGGGCTGTCTTATAACGGCAGCAACTTTTACATGACATGAGACAGGATTCAGGATGCACTAAGCATCATTCTCTTTGCAATTATGCAAAGTGCTTATGGTGTTTAGAATGGCTCTTTAAAGTTCTTGCTGCTACTGATAATTAACAGGCAAGCTGCAGGAAGATATTTGAAATTAAACTGCTGGATATACTACTGAATATACCATACTGTGTCGGACTACTTCCACCTTCATTAACAGCCTCATAAACAGACTCTACGTAATGTTTGCCTTACCAGGCATACAGTCAACTGCAGTTTGAACTTTCACATGGAGTCAGACATTGCAGGTTAAAACATATGCTCCATTTGAAAAAAAAGAAATAAACATTCCTTCATCCACGACCCACGTTAATAGCTTCA